ACTCGCAAAGTTGACGAAGCCAAAACGCGACAACATCAAGCGTTAGGCGCTTGACGGTCCGCTGCTGACGTACACGATGGACGTCTTTGATTCCCCGCGTGTCGTCATCCCTGCTGATGACGACCTTCGAGCCCGGTTGGTTCATGAATTTCACGACAGCCCAGCTGGCGGACACCTGGGTCGCGAGAAGAAGTTTGCGGCTATTCTCGCGTATTTTTCTGTCCACGAATGTATAAGTATATCCAGATATGGGTGCGCTCCTGTGAAACCTGTCAGCGTGTGAAGCCTACGCCGTCTTCACAAGCCCCATTGCGTCCGCTTCCGATTGCTACGGAAGCCTGGCGCTCGGTCAGCATGGATTTTATCTTTGGCCTTCCACCGGATGAACAGAAACGCACGGGCGTATTGGTTCTAGTGGATCGATTCAGCAAAATGGTGCATTTTGCTCCGGTCTCCGCCAACATTACGGCGGAGACGACAGCTAAGATCTTCATTGATCTTATCTTTAGGCATCACGGCTTGCCAGAATCTATTGTTTCGGACCGTAACCCGCGTTTCACTTCGGCTTTCTGGGCCAAATTATTTCAGCTATAAGGCACGCGGTTGCTTATGTCTACGGCGGCCCATCCAGAGACGGATGGGCAAACGGAGCGTGTGAACAGAGTGCTCAAAGATGTCTTGCGCAGTTATGCAACATCGTTCTCGTCATGGGGTTCATTTCTTCCACTTGCAGAGTTTGCAATTAACAACGCTGTCCATGCTTCAACCGGGTTGACGCCCTTTTTCGTTAACAACGCGAGGCATCCTCGCGTTCCGGCGCTACTTGCTCTCTCAGATTCAGAGCACCCTGTCTCCAAGCTTGGTGGGGGAGTATCTACCGATGGACTTGTGCCGAAACTATTGATGATGATTACGATGAGGATAAGGTTGCTTTCGGTGCACCTAATGCTGGTAATTTTGTGGCCAACGGCATATCGACTCCTAACGCGATGCTTTCCATCGCGTCTCCCGTTGCCAATTTTGCTCCAAATGAGAATACGTCGCCTGTAAATTCGGCTGCAGTAACCGAATTTCTACTATTACGACAAGGAATCACTCGTTTTGTGCGTGATGCATTACAAAAGGCAGTCGATAAGAATAAGGAGAATGCAGACAGAAGAGGTCGTAAGAATATGTTGATATTTTGAGATGGTGACAGAGTATTGTTATCAACAAGTGGACTACCGAACACCTCACTGACGAATTTGGGCGCTAATAAGTTAGCGCCAAGATATATTGGCCCATTTCGGGTTGTTAAGGTGCATGGTGACTCTTACACGCTAGACATACCTACATCTATGCGTTTGCACCCGACGTTCTACGTCGGGCGCCTCAAGGCTTACCTACCGGCGGATCTCCCTTCGAATCTTCCCCGCTCTTCTGTGCCGGCTCGAAATCCGACATCCCTGACGACGACGTTGATGACAACTGGGACCAAGTCCTGCCCGAACGCGTGCAGACTCGATCTGCTGGGGCCCTCCGAACGCAGTCGTCTTAAGTTGACTTAGGTGCTTAACCAGTACCAGCTGCTCATGTCGAGTCTGCTCAGCAGCCTCAGTCGCAGCATCCGCCCGATCTTGAGCTCTCTTAGCCATCTCGCGAGCATCAAGTAGGGCATTCTTCGATTCCTCGGCTTCAGCGCGGAGTAGGCGCAGCTCATCATTCGACTGTACAGGCGCCCGATTACGAGAATCGGCGCTCATCGCCAGAGGTCTTCCGTCGTGATGCTCCTCCTCCCTTAGTTGATGCATCGGGTGCGCGAAGCTGGATTGTCGACCGAATGGTCGATCACGAGGATCACAAGCCCCAGGCGCCGAGTAATAACTCGTCGACCATGAAGAAGCGAGTCGAGAAACATTATAGGGTTCGCTGTTTGGGATATTCCCCGGCGGACGATACATGGGAGCCATCGAGTACGCTGTCCCAAGATGTCCCGGACGTGGTCGAGGACTATGAGTCCCGTAGAAAGACGGTGATCGCGACCGACGCTGCCGGTTCCATCCCCGATCTCGCGAGCCGTAATGCTCGCGAGCAACAAAACCGCGACGACCTCACGAGCGAATCCGAGACCGAGACCTATTACGAGGCTCGGGAGCATACGGATGATACGGTTGACGACCTCGGCTACGTGAATGCCCTCGGCGATCGTATGGACGCGCTCTCACTCGCCGTAGCTCGGACACCTGGATCTCCGAAAGGCTTCTTTCATAACGGACAATCCATGGACGAATATGATCGGGCATGCCTCGCGCACACACCAAGTCGTCCATTCCTGCCGGACCGGTCGCGATCTGCCCACGTTGCACGGTGGACATCTTTCACGAATGTGGACGTAACAAAGAGTGATACTCGTCACAAGGCATACGACAGATGCGCCGGCGCAGGTCGCCAATAGCGTGTCTATCACGCGTTCCCTCGCGACCGTCTAACCAGGACGTGAAGGACGTTCCTTCACGTCTACTCGCGTTCCAGCGTCTGATGAAGGCACACCAAGACCTCTGCAACGCATCGTCAGTATATGCGTTGTTCGTCGCCTTGCCTCTCACTGTACGGTATCGCGTGAAAAGGTCCTTCATGACCTCCAGTGGCTCGGGTTCGACAGCACCTTCACGACCATACAAGCGCCACGGTTTCAAGTCCCCATCCATGACCTGCGGGGCGCTGCTCTCTACGGATTGTCGCTTGGTGTTTCCAGTTCTGGTTGTCAGCGACATTGTTTCGTGGACGCCTAGGGTCCATGCTGCTCAGTTAAGTCTTACTGAGCAGGTTCGGAGTTACGCCGTTGGTCGAGAAGAAACTTTCTGCGATTCGCGCTTACGTTGAGGTAAGCGCAACTTAAAGAGGGGGTGATGTAATGGGTCTACCTATTACATAAGTAGTTATAGGGATAATACATAATTACATAAGTAGGCATAGGGCAGTATCCGATTAGCGGATACTGCGCGTCATTTTTATTATTGGTTTATTATTGGGGTGCCAGACTCAATAAATAGCCAATAATAAATTGACTTCCATATTGAGTGGTTCCCATGAGCTAGGGAACATATTCGCGCTTACTGCGAATTAAAACAAAACAAAATAAGACAGAGTTATATTTACGAGTAAATTAAAAGCGCTTCCTCAACGCCCTTTTAGTGTAAGACGGTAACGGGTCCTTAGCCCGTTACAGGTAGAGAGCGTCTCATCAGTTTTGTTGAGCGCCTCATTCCGTGTCTACTTAAGCCTAACCTCATCCTGAGTCTTATTGATAAACTCAGCCGTAGCTTGGCTGTTTACCTCGGACGCGTTTCTACGCAGTCCGAGCACAAACGCCTCAAAAATCTCCAACTGAGCAACATGTTGCTCAGGAGGACAATGCAAGAGGTTGACCAAGGCTTGTTCGCCAAGTCCCTGCACCGTATGCTCTGCCAACTCCTTATGATGTTGGAAAAGGTGAGGGAAGTCTCTCCAGTCCATGTTAAGAACCATATCAACCACACGCACGCTCAGAGAGACGGGTCTTGGGAAGGACTAATAGTGCTACCAAGTGTAGACGGGCACTTCTATGAAGTTGCCTCGTGCTACTAGCACACACCTTCAGCACAAGCGAGGAAGCGGTTATACCGTCTTACCTTCGCGTGCGAGGGTGGTTAGGAGGTTGGTCGACTGCTTAAGCAGTCGTACCACCAGTTGCCTCTCGCTTAAGCGAGAGTGCAACGAGCTTCTAAAAAAGAAGTCACCGACGTCACGCAGAAGCTTTTTCAGCTTCTCGTGCGTGGCGCTTATGTTTAAGCAAATTCAAGACTGAGCTATATTTAATGAATTATAACTTAATATACACTTAACTACTGATTGGCTATATAGAGAGAGATCGGATACGCGGCTCTTTAGAAGTGTATCCTGTCGCATGAACTTAAATCTAGATTTAAGATCGCAACTGACGTCCTTCTGAGACGTCGCGATGCCTAGCTTCAACTAGCGTCATCCCTTCTCATGTGAATCCATCAATGGATATCATATTCATGAGGGTCGATCACATTTATGTATCGCACCCAAGTGACAGGTCAAAGTAATCATGAATACTTTTAGACTTAACATTAAATATATTACTTAATGTTTACGTGTAACTAGATGCCCTGTTACACTAGTGGTGTTAATGCTACCGACTCATACGGACACGTGATTTGCTGCTGGAGCGGCCGTGGCTCGCGCAGTTCCACTTTATGAGCAACATTGCAAAATGCTGCGTGTATATTTGCAAGATAGTGTCTTAATCTTTCAAATTTACCCAGAGAGATACGCACTTTGTAAGCACGATAGCTACCTAGATAGGAATATGGTGAGCACTACGAGCCTCACCCTATCAAATGCCACTTTGACAACGTCCTGCAGGACCATTGTCGATGGTGCATTATATAGTCTAAAATTTGCATCTAAGCGATATGCACATTCATCCAAATCGAAAAGTGGAGTAAGTTATCATACTTAATTGCCATCAAAAGCACGATCTAAGTTCTTACGAGAATCACAAGTGCAGGGATGCAACATAATTACGCTGTTTGGAAGCTGAGACGGACATTTACGGTGGCTTCTGCTTGCTCACCTTGTCGTCCCCAATGAAGTATTCTCTTTCATCGTGATACGGCGTCCAATAGACAAAATCAACTATCAGATGCAATTGACCACACAGAAACATCGCCAAGATTGTCGCACGGCTCCATTGGTGAGCGATTTTGTTTAGCTAGCTAGCACTTGAAGACGAATACAATATGTTTGTACCTATTTCCCTCATATTGCAGTGCAGGAGCTTAAGTACTTTCTCGATTGAAATCGCTGCAAGTACAGACGTGCTTTCTCGCTCGTAAAAATACGGGCGGTTGCTGCCGCTTTTCGCTCTCTCGATTCATTCCCAAACAAGCCGCACAGATCTAAGAGCTCGCCAAGACCATTTTAAGTCTCGAAAGCTTACTGATCGTTAAAGCATGAATGTCGCTTTCCGCTTCTACGCTCTTCTGTACCTGGTGTCGATGAAAGCGGATGGGCTAGTGGTCCAGCCACAAACGCTTCCCGCAGATTCAATTCAACCTCAGATTCAGCGCAACGAAAGCAAATCAGACGCAGCGACCGACTTTCTAGACGAATTGGCCGCAGCAATTTCTAAGCGCTACCCAACCAATGACCAGTCGAACTTCGCAGCATTCATCGATGCTCTGTTAGATCTTAGGTGAATCGACGATCCACTCGAATGGTTCCAGTACGTATGACGATAGTGATGTTTATGTTGGCGATGCTAGCGAAGAAGAAGAAGGCGACGATGACGTTGGACATGTCTTCACCCCGTTTCCGGAACTAATCTCGATGAACGCTGACACGAACGCATCAAGCACGTACGGCAACGTGACTGGATCAGCAAGTGGAAAGCTGGAGATTACGAACGGCGATGATGTCAACATGCGCGACGGAGAGAACGTCTCCAACAACGCGGTAGTGAGACTATTGAGTGGCATTGCCGTGTCGATCATCGTGCTGCAAGCGTTTACTCTTACTATTTAGATATATATTGATCACGTACAGCTCGAACGCATGAAAAGCTCAGCAATGTCGATCTAAACGCAGTAGTCAACAAGCAGCGTACCTACCTAGCAGCTCACTATTTGTCCACCTTCATAGTACACAACAAATTCTGTGACTGCAAACTTGCTTGTTTTTTTCGATCGGCCAGCTACCTAGATCTTCTGTTAAATTCACTTTCATTCTCAAACTCGCTTGATGCTTTTCGATGCCGACAACATCATGGCAACAAGACACCGGAATCGTCTTGTTTCTCGGTGTCATATAGGCTACCTAGTAACTTACACAAGCCGGTAAATTTTGAGTATATAACTGTTGCACGAAAAAGGTTAGACAATTTAATGCTATCCTTTAGAACTTGTACATCTCGTTACTCATCTCACTACTTGGATCACGCAACGTTAACGCTTGTTTGGCCGAGGCCCTAGTAATCATTATTTTCGACTAGCATTGCTCGCTTATCGATTGTTAAATACAAAAACACTGAAAGGAGTTTTTTCATAGACAGCATCTACTTGCAGTCCTCTAGTGAAAAGAAAAGTCTTCTATGAATAGAATGCAAATGTATTGGTGCAAGTGATAGACCCATGATATTGTACATACCGACCTAAACTGTCTCCCTTACCACACAAAGCAGTCCTGTGGCTGGAAAAGAGACGCCCGACGATATTGCAGTGGGCGTCGCACTACGTAGTACGGCATGCGGATCTGTAGAATACCGTTTTCCGAGATCTGCTGCGTGGCTTCCTCCATATTGAGCATATTCCGCGGAAACTGCTCTGTGATCTCAAAACGACCGAACGTCGGTGCACCGCTAAGACGCGACATGACAATGTCCTTCTGCATAGGCAGTCGAAAACCACTTACACGCAGCACTCCATTGTGGTCGTTCCACTGCACACGCACGTTGCGCGGGTCAATGTCGTTCAGGCGCGCGATGAGATAGATGCCGTCCTGTCGACGCTGTAGCTGGTAGTACGGCCGCCACACGGGCAGCAAGTTAACATCAACATTCGAAGTTGGAGGAGTAGCAACGGCTTGCAGTCGCGACTTCATCGGAGCAACTTGCTCTTCCTCCTCGTATTCATCTTCGTCATCAGCCACAGCCTCGGATACCATAGGCTCGTCTTCCTTAAGCAAGTTAACATCACCATTTAAAGTCGAAGGAGTTGCAACGGACTGCAGTCGCGACAATTTCGGATCAACTTGCTCTTCCTCCTCTTCTTCATCTTCTTTATCAGCCTCAGCCTCTGATTCCATAGGCTCGTCGTCCTTGATATTGGTAGACTCTCCCATCTCTTCATCTTCCGCGGCTTCTTCTTTCTCCTCCTCTGACTCACTGCTCTCCTCCCCATCTTCTGATTCACTGCCCTCCTCTCCACTCTCGTTAAACAGAGCCTTCACGTGCATATCGTCCGACTCAGCGTCGCTATCTCTGGGCATCAAGGGCTCTAATGTCTGTTGCTCAAATGTACCGAGTGCTTTTTCTCCAAACTGCTTCAACTTGGCGCTGCGTTCCTTGAAAGCATCAGCCTGAGGAAGCAGCTGCTGCTGGATGAACACCACCAGTGCCTTTCGAGCGCTCTTGATGTCGGCGTCTCCGTGGCTCAATATTCCGTCCAGCTCCAGCAGGTAACGCGTAAGCAGCTCCTCTTGCTCCTTTACACGGTAGTCAAAGGCTCCGAGCTCCAGACGCATTTTCTTAACGATAGCTGCGGCGTCATGTGGCTTGAATGTCTTCAGTCGCCACTTGGTCCCACATACGGTGGCCATCAAGTGCCGATATTGAGCTGGCAATCGCGTGCTGAGCTTCTCCTGTACATCGTTAATATTCTGTTTGATGGTCTGCAAGCGGCTCTTTTCTTGGGATGTCTGGGTGTCCATTGCGTTCATTACTGTTTCGACTCAACGTCACGTTGGAATTAATGTAGTTGACTTGTGGTTTAGGTGGCAAATTCAATAATGAACTGCTGACGAAATGCCGTAGGAGGCAGGCGCAGACTAAGTGAGACAGTCGACGTTCGAGATTACTAATCGCGAATATTCGAGAGGATAATTATCAGAAAGGATACATTGGTGTAACATACCTTACTTATGGCTACAAAAAAAAACTAGATACAAAATGACAGAATTGGCGATATGTGCTATGTTGTTCCTACTGCCATGTGCCGTCATTCTTGAACGCTGCATCAGCGATTGGTCACTATTGGCACTGCACCCGGCATTGAATTCGTTAGCAATGCTCATTTGTTTGCCCAGGTATAACACACTAAAGTTTCTTATATACAATCTATATCTTTCGTGGTTGACACATTGTTCTGGTGATCGGCATTATTTACAGCGCGTTACAAGCAATGTTACAACGAAAGAGTGAAACGAACCAAAAAAAACGGTGCGCAATTGTCTCTTTTGCATAGAAACATACACCATATTGATCGAATTATGGGTATCTATATCATAGTATCTGGTTGACCAAGCTGCATCTACTGCTCAATGTATTGGCTGGAGTATTGGTAGCTGTTGCCGGTGTTGCAGTGCTTTTTGCTAAACGTAACGTCGGTGACCAGCACTTGACAACGCCACATTCGTGGGCAGCTCTCGTGACGGGCATGTTCTTTGCACTCAACATGTTCCAGGGAATTTTATTGACGTTCGAAGGCACGAAGGCCAATTGGCAGTGGAAGGACGAGACTCACGTGCTAACGGGCGTGCTGGTCTATATCGGAAGTGTCACTACAATGCTCTATGGACTGCAGACGAGCTCGTGGGGGGCCAAGCACTTTAGTCTGGAGAGGCAGTTCCAGGTCACAATACTTATCATTGCAGCACATGTGACGCTACTGGGAAAAATGCTCTGGCCACAACGTCGTGATAGTCCATCGCAAGTCATTAAGGTGGCCAAGGTGGCATAACAATCGATGGCAGCACAATTACTCGTTGATAGGGGGAAACATTCGCAATTAATCCATACAAATATACAGTTAAACCTCATGTATGGATGTGCTGATTTTCATATCGTTCCTCCCTAATGGTAAACAAGCTGGAGCTAATAGTACTAAGTGGGCTGTTTGGTGCACCCTGTGCCATCATCCTGTCCAAATGTGCGGCATCACCGTCGCTATTTGCAGTGCACCCTGCGACTAACGCCGTCGCCTTCCTATTGTGCTTCCCATTGTACGCCAGCGACCTCATAGTAAACTTATATGTAAAGTGTAGCACTAATAAGGAATTACTGTAACGTCTCGTATCTATAGGGGGCTGTACGTGATGCTGGAACGCAAGAGTGTGACAAATTTCAGGACACGGTCAGTGATGTAGTCAGTTTAGCTCTTCACAAATGTATCACATATATTATTATTGATACCAGAGTGCTCCTCTCCAAGCTGCACATGTTCTTCCAAGTATTAGCAATGCTACTGCTAAGTACCGGAGGTGTGGCGGCCTACATGACCAAAAACAAGTTTGGCAAACAGCACTTCACGTCCACGCACTCGTGGCTCGCAATTGGGACGGCAGTGCTGGCCATGCTAAACATGCTGGGGGTACGAGCTCTTACTGCAGTTCTTCGTAGTCACATGGTGGTGAAGTCTTGTTTTTCTTGACGTGCAGGGACTTGTCACGACTTTTGGCAGTAAGAAGACCAGCTGGCAGTGGAAGAATTCTGGCCACCGCATCGGTGGAACCCTGGCGTTTCTGGGCGGAGGTGTGTACTCGTGGGTTATTTTTTATATAGCTGTGTGCCAAGACTAATATATGAGTGTGGTGTCGAAAGGCTGTAGTGTCATTCTCGGTATATACAGTGGTTCGTGGGGCATTTCTCAGCTAGGCGAGAACTTGCAGTTCCAAGTGGCCAGCTCGATCGCCGCTGCATATTTTTTGTTGTTTTTCAAGGTGGTAACGAGCGGCTCCGTAGCAAAGAAAAGCGACTGAAAAACTGATTGCGACTCACCAACCAGTCCCTCTTGGTGGTTGTTGCACAATAAACTGCTTCAAGTGTGAGATTCCATTATGACTAGAATATAGAACCTTGTTCTTTAAACTAATGGCCAAAATTTTTTTATCATTTTAAATTCAAAGCATTTCGTACACTTGCAACAACACGATCGCTATCTATCCGTCACCACTTTCTAGGGGCGTAGCTCTTAGAAAACAAGGTCGAGTTTGAAGGTACATACAGGCTGATACGATATTTTGTCAAAAGTAAAGGTTGCGAGTTTATAATATCGACTCGACACCGAAATTCTCAGGGTCGTATCAGAAATAGATTTAATCGATTGATTGATGTTTGCGAGTTCGGCGCTACACAAAGGACACTTGACTACTGTATGTCTGGCTCTAAAGCCACCAAGTCAATTGTTTATGGTACGTTACATCAAAGAAACCGTTATAGATCCTATTTCGAAAAATAGACAAAATCGTTTGGGGTTTTTAGGAATTACGATTAACTTGAAAACATATTGGCATATACCGTATATATAGTGAGTGTTCTATTCGATCCGACATGGCAAATTCCGTGGACTTATCCGTCCATACTCCCCCGGACTCGCCCGTTTCAACGTCATCTTTGCCTTTTCCTCCATCCAGTCACAACGATGCATTGCATTTGCGACTCAAGACACTGGATGAACGTGTATTCGACGTAACAGTCGCGTCGTCCATGTCAGTGACTGATTTTCGAGCCACAGTAGCTGAAGCCACAGCCGTTCCGGCCCCGAGACAACGCCTGATCTATCGTGGCAAGTTGCTAAAGGATGGGGCTGCGTTGGCCGCCTATGACCTGCAAGATGGACACACGGTGCACTTGGTGGCCAAGCCGCCGGCCGCAGTTGAGGCGGACGCGAGCAGACGGCCGGCGGACGGTCCGGCATGGAATTTGGCCAATCTCCGCTCAGCTCTGAGACGTACAGGAGCTTCGACCACTTCTGTCCAACAACTGCCAGTGCTGCGGGAAGTGCTGGCTGAGACGGCTGAGAGCACGGAAGAGCAGGAGCCGATACTTGACTTGGAACCAATCACACAGGGCATTCTTACCATGCGGACCGTCCTGTCAACGGCCCAACGAGAGCAGCAGCGACAGTTTTTTGTGGGTCAGTGGCTCGACGTGAAGGACACGGTGAACCAATGGCTTGAGGCCACGGTTATGGACATTGCAGATGGAAAAGTGCTCGTACATTACCACGGGTGGCCTACGAGATGGAACGAATGGATTGACTTTGACTCGGACAGGATCGCAGCCTTCCGCACACGCACGCTTCATACTCAAAACCCACAGCGTATGTCGCCTGTACCAACCATGCGGGTGCCTAGTGCTCCGCAAGTAGGCGGCCGTGACGTACGCTGCACAGTGATTGAAGTCCGCAACTTGATGCGTGAGATGATGCCACACATTGACCAGCTTGCGGACTTGTGTGAAGAGGATGTACGACGACAGCAACAGCAGAGGGAAGAGAGAGCGGTGAATGTAACGGTAGACGATGCTACTGACTCGTCGACTATACCAGTGGACCGACAGGCGCGGGACAGTGAAGTATCGGAGGTGGCCCATTTGGTAGCCCCTCTTTTTGATCGGTTTGGACGGCTGTTGATGGATTCAGTACAGTATTTGGACCCATTGTTGTACCCTGAATTGAGAGCCACATCGCTGCGGCAACAAGAACGCCGTTCGACAGCATTGCGTCGCGGACACGAAGGTTCTTCACAGCGACGAACTGCTAGTGTGTCGACGTCAATGGGAATGCAGGACAACTCGTTTTCTATTCGAGATCTGATTACTACCTCTCCAAACTTAGCAAGCGAGTCGAACCAGCCGAGGCGTAGCATTGATGTGCACATTCACGCGATAGTCGCACCAGCTTCGCTATCATCGCTTTCCTTGCTGACACGCGGCAACAACAACGGAGGCAGTAGCCCTGATACAGGCGTTTCTCTTCAAATGCCTTCCACTCCCCCGATTGGACGCTCTTTTGGCTCTAATGACACACGAAATTCTGATAGCCGCGTAAGTGATGACGAGGGCGATCATAGTCGAGTTCCTTTATTGGGATCGTATCGCCATCGTAGTCACTCACAAGTTAGCGACTCGAGTCGACACCAGCAGCAACGTGCAGTGTCGCGTGATCTGGATGATTTTTTGTCCAACGACTTTTTCGGAGCTTCATTCAGCCACAACGATGATGATAGCGACGACGAATCAAGTGTCAGCTACGCGCATTCGGATGTCATGCAGTCAGGCCGGTCGGCATATCGTCCTCCGTCTTTTTCTGGTAGAATATCTTCACCAGGCACGCCTAGTGATGATGATAGCGCACAATATTCGAGCGGCACAATTGGTGCGATTCCGGAAATCACTACGGCTGAAGAACAATCGCAACCACGGGCGTCCGGAGTAGCTAGCCCAAGTAACGAGGATGGCGAGGATGGTCACAATGGACGACTATCGCATGCATCCGCGGAATCGTCTTCCTCCAATTCGTCATCGGGTTTTCCTACATTTTTGGAAGTGATGCGCCGGACCCTTAGCGGTGTCCGGAGCTTTGTACATAACGAACAGAGCAGCAGTCTTGCAGACGGTACAAGTAATCAATTGGGACTGGTGTCGGGCTTTCCCGTGCCATCTTCCTCATCGTCGTCGTTGTCGACACCTCCGGTGTCTCCAGTGATTCGATCTTCAATCGAAAACGTTACCATTGGTCGTCGCGGTTCGAGCGAAAACAGTTTTGATGAGGCGTTGGATTTGGACGAAGTGGACTAAGCGACCGTCTGCCACTGCTGATTGTGTCGATTTATAAATGGCGCGAGAGTATGTTGCGAATTCATATACTTTGTCGCATTGAATAATGGATATGTGCGTGATGTCTTACGTGTGTCGATGATTCGGAAACCATAGACATGCAGCATGGTTGTTAAGACGGTGTCAACCACTTCCGACTGATTATTTGAAAGTTCTTAACTAAGTACCTTTACTTGTACAAGCAGTCTACGAAGCGTATCAGTCAGTACAAATCAAGATCCGTTTGATGTTCAAAAAAGTCGTCCAAGACTTTTCTCCTCGACATTGGTTGCACCATTCTGTAGAGAACAGGAGGCCGTCATTCTGTTCTAGTGACCGTATATCGATGAGACCAAGGATGTCGAGCCCTACGCAAAGTCCCTCGATTCCGATGATGCCCAAGACATTTACAAAGAAAACGACCGAGACAATTTTTTTCGACAAATGCGGTCGAATTGCGAGTAAGTAAAGCATCGAAGACTATTGTGATCGAAAGTGACAACGGACAAGAACTTGAAACAGTTTTGGCTTCCAAATATATGCAGCTCTTTTCAAGAAACCAGAGACTCTGCTGTAACATGAACACTAAACGCTGATGAAATCTCGATATGGAGAAGATGGCAGAGCTATCAAATAAAGCCCATGAGCAGCGTGCCAGTGCATGTCAACTTATAGTAGTCAATGAAGGCCACTCGCTACATGGCTACATGTTTTTGACTTGAGGATCTTTAAATGCTACTTCAGTAAAAATCATTGATCTTGTATGACTGTGAGACTTGATCCATATCACTTTTTAGTGTCATATCCTTCCAGCATCTTATACCCTTTGTAAAAACATATCCACTTGTCATCACTCTACGTCATTCCGAAATCTTATTCCTAATTATCATGGCGGAAGATCCAGCGCCTCCGCCTCAAGCAGCGACCAATACTAAATTCTACATGAAAAATGCCATATTCTCCATGCTTTCTCTTTATGTAGCGCATCAATTTGCCGGTTATATCTCGGATCGCGAGGACCCCATCGCTTGTGACCTGCATGTGAATGACCATTCGTGGTTTGGTGAAAAACGTTACGAGTCACTGCGTTTCTTTGACCCTAAAAAGACCCATCATGAGACACAATACGTGGCAATGCGTGACGGTATTGACTTGGCCGTCGATACGTATCTAGCTGATTATCTCTGGAACAAACAGGAGAAGGTACCCACTGTGCTCTTCCCGACACGTCACGGCCGCGGCTACACCCTCGATTTTCCCTTTAATCTTTTTACACGTTACGAGCGCAAATTTACAAACCCACGGGTGAATGCCTACGTGCAGAGGTTTGTTACGAATGGATATGCGTGGGTCTCAGTGGACGTGCGGGGCACGGGCGTCTCGGCCGGCACGAAAGCTCACGACTTTGCCGACGCTGAAGTGCAAGATGCCTACGACATCATTGAGTGGATCACAAAGCAGCCTTGGAGCAATGGAGAAGTTGCTGTCTTTGGTCAGGGACTCGATGGAGTTGGCGCACTATTGGTAGCGGCTAGTGGCCACCCGGCACTCAAGGCCGTATCGGTCAATAGTGCACCCATTGATGTATTCCAGAACGCGCTGTTTCCTGGAGGTGTCAAAAATGAGAAGGCGCTAAACGACTGGGCATCGTTCACGCGTGCTACGGACTCCCAGGTCCGTTGGGATCAAATTCCGACGTTCAAGCCGCGACTTATGCTGAAACACTTCGGCGGCAACGTCTACCGCGTGGACGACGACGACGCCAAGTTTGACAATTATATTCACCAGCACACTAAGAACCCGGACTTAGCTCGAGAGCTTAAGAACGTGCACTTCCGTGACGACAAGCTGGCGTCGAGTGGTGTAACAGCTGAACAGCTGGATGCTATTCGCCACCTTGGCGCGATTGCTGCTTCAGGGGTTGCGGTGCAGACGTCAGCTGGTTTCTTTGACATGGGCGTGGCGCGCTCTAGCATCTTGCTGTTCCAGTACCTGACCAATACGCTAGACGCAGATACGGCCTCACTACTCCCAGAGCTTCCCAAGAAAGCGCTCGAGGCTGTAGAGAAGGACGCCGCCCACTACCGTCTTACTTTGGGTCCATGGAGTCACGCTGGTGTCGACAATGCGGACCCTTTTGCCCAATCGAAGCAAAAGTGCTTTTACCACTTGGACGAAGTGAGTCGATTCTTTGACTACCATATGTATGCTAATCGCCGCAAGATCACGAAGCTCGAGGAAGAGCTGCCTGTGCATTACTTCACCATAGCGCACAACCGCTGGAAGGAGTCGAATACGTGGCCGCCGACTTACCTGAGCGACGAGACGTTCTACCTTGGCGCTAGTCAGAAATTTCAGGCAGCCCCGGAGCGTGAGACAAGCGAAGTGACTCGTAACGTGACAGTGAAGCCTACGCTAGATGCAGTTTCGCGCTGGAACATGCTTGACCACTTGTTTGGTCTGCGCCCGTTTTACTACCACGACCGCACGCCGCTCGCTGACCATTACACGACGTTTTTGACTCCGGAGCTGCCGCTGATTGAAATCACTGGCGAAGCGGAGCTTCGTTTATTTTTTTCAGTAGACCAGCCTGATGTTAATCTTGTGGCCTATCTCGAGGACGTCGACCACACTGCTCCGTTTCCAAACGAAAACAAGCGCTCGGGTACCACGTACATTACGGAGGCGCTACTGAATCCCGTGCATAAGACAATTCACCCGGACACACACGTCCACTCGTTTAAGCGTGCCGACTCGCGTGAGATCGTGCCTGGTCAGGTGTACGAGGCTGTTTTCCGCTTCGAGTCGACGTCATATGTTGTCAAGCGTGACCACCAGATCCGAGTGTCTGTGGGTATTGCCAGTCCGCCTGACTTTGGTTTAGCTGGTGAGAAGGAAGCCACTACGCTTACTATCTACTTTGGAGGCGTCTACCCGACCAAACTCACTCTACCGTTGTACACGGGTATTTACAACGCCAATGTTGTACCGCGTGCTAAGGGTGTGGACGACCTGGAATCGATTCCGACTGAATCGAGCAAGAAGGCATCGAAAGAAAAGGTTGTGGAAGAATTTGCAGACGAAATGGAGGTGAAGGACGAGCTATAGATATGTAGTAAGCACATTTTAATTGTTAGTGCTGCCAAGATGCCGCAATTTCGAATACATAGGAAATAGCCTTTCAACTACTGTAACTAGTCTTAGCTTTCATCACTTAACAATGGTAATATTATCACTCAACAGAGGTCAAAACGTTGAGGTTTTATTTTTTGACTTGATTTTTTAGTCAATTCACTAAATACGGTTTACTTCCTAGTATTATGTAAATGACCTCAACTTGCTACAAGAGTGATGTAACGATCATCATTCCGTTCCGCACTGCCGTGGTGGCACGTCAGAGTCGAAACCTCATGTTCTTTGACGACGCGTCATCATTCCCTACGTCCACCACATCGTCATTCGTACCTCCCTATACGTATCCAGAGTCGCCTAATGTCTCTCCTATGCCGTCTTCCATCGTGGAAATCCCGTTATACGACACCGAGGAAGAGAGTAAAACGTTGCATTTCTTTGTGTCTTGTAATAATGTAGACGGCACATCCCTCGTATCTTCTGCACGTTCAGCTCAGACATTAGTACGTGGTGCTTTTAATATGTTTAGCAACGCTACAACAATAAACAATACAAAATCACTTCAAGCCAAATCCCCATCCGAAGTGAACGTCGAAGTCCGCGTCTTTCGGGAAATGCCACTTGTTGACTTTGGAACAAACATTTCGATACATTCAACTTCAACTTCAACGACTAGTAAGATACACAAGATGACCAATATGGGGGAAACCGAGACAGAGAAAGGGACTGGCCAAGTATTAGACAGTGAAACTTACTGGAGTGAACGTCATCGAAGTCGTAATCCTCGATTTTCAGTGGGATTTAGTATCGAATGCAAAAACATGGCTACATATGATCGACAGGTGCAGATTATGGTGATGATCCCGGACGAAGGCACGTCCTCGAACCGACATAGCCACGTGTTTGGTTACGCATTGACATCATTCCAAGAAATGTATACAGTGGCTACGAATGGCAACTTTAAGCAACAGATGATACTGCCAGTGCATTCTATGGTTTTGGATGGAGCAACGGTCGAGTTGCAGTTTGCAAATATTCAGCCGCAACAACATCCATTGTTTGTAGCACATCACAATTTATTTCGAAGTTTCATCTTCTACCCGTTAATAAAGGAAAAACATATGGAGAAACAAGCTGCAAATGCTAAATTGGCAGTCGAAGAAGCAGCTGAAGTGGATTTTAGTGTTAAGATCCCGTTGCAATTGCTACGAGTGTGTCAGTGTGAACTGCTGCAAATGTACAAAGTTTGGAAATGTCGTTACAATTACAATCGCAAGAAAAACCGCTACTTTGATAACGACGCGGAAGCGCTTGATTTTGGACATGACGTCTTCCGGGTGCAAGTTGTATGCGGACGTGAATTAACGATAAGATCACGTGCTAGTGTCGCTGCAGCAGCGGCAAGTGCGATGACTGATACTGAAATGATGACAGAATCGAATGCACGATCGTCACGTACTTCTTTTTCAATAGGAATGGCTGGAGGTCGAGAGGGATTTGTTAATCGGATGAAATCTGGAAAGTGGGGAAGGAACAGCAGATCATCCTCGGTTGGCAGTACTGATCCTGATACGGCAGACGCAGGAGGGGAAACTATAAGCAGTGTCCATTCTTTCGTTGTGGTTAAGTTTGAAGATGGTGTGTATGGAAACCATGAGTACACCGTAGGAAAAACGAATACTGAGTATGACACGCCAAATCCCGTGTGGTCAACAAATAAGTTTGCTGCCACTAAATGCCCACATGGCAAGCCGAACACTAAGTACCACGTGTCGAGGACAATGAGGAGCCGCGTGGTTGTGTCTCCGATAAACGCGTTGAAGCAATTTGTATTTTATCGATCAAGCGTGCCTGACCAGCCACTTACAGGATGGTTGCGTTTCCAAGTATTCAACGAGCATTATGGTTACATGAGTGGCATAGAAAACGATCTAATTGGTGAAGTGATGATTCCGTTGCAAAGTCTTCGGGACGCAATGGTAGTAGAAGAGGAAACGGTATTTGACGACGACGACGGTACTAAAGACAACACAAGTGGTGATCATGAGGTGAAATCACGCCAAATCGTGACATCGCTCACTCTAGTCGACTGGTTTGATGTCCGCTCACCTTCAACCGATGAGATATTCGGGCAGATTCAACTTCGTATTAATATTCTACTGGCAAATCCGCTCGAGCCTCCGAACGACGACCTATTGGCCATGGCTCCAGATCCGTCTTCAGCTCTTGTGAGAAGATACAGGCGAGTTGCAGACTGCTCGCCTCCACCAGGCGATGGTATTATTGAGAGCGAAATCCCTCTGAGCTTTTTATATCCACATGTACTAACTCTTCGTAAACAGGTGGCTGAGGTCACTGATATGATTCGATCTAGTGAACATTTGGTTGAAGAGAAGAAGACTTTTAAGTCCAGTTTGCACAAGAAGCGTGCCGATATTCAAGGCATTCCGACGAATCTGCATGTATCATATTTGCGCATATTCCGTCACTTCGGTTCTCAGTCTGGACTGCACACACAAATTGGTCTACAAACAGCAACTGAAGATCTGCTCAGTTTGGAACACAGTGGTGCACATTTTGTTTCTCGTGATTCATCGCCGATACAAGAATGCATGATGGGTCCAGAGACACATGCAACTGTAACTTGCGGTGCTCCGACTGCACACGCAATGGGGCTAAGTAATTGCGGTTTGCGAGAAATGGAGCTTGAGCTACATAAATTTGAATCTATTCTGGAAAAAAGTGCCCCGCAACTAATGGTTGGCGCGGATAGTGAGAGCAATTTGTGTATTCCGGAAGATTCATTCGACTTTTCCTACCCTCCATTCGAAGATGAAAGCGAGGTGGAAACCGAAGACGACGTTCGTAACAGTGACAGCGGTGTTCCTTTGGATGAGGTGAATCCTTTAGATGCATCTGGGTCGAGTGACTTAAGTATCTCTACAGATGCCTCTACAATCCCTACTAAACCTGTACTAAATAAGAAAGCCTCGAAGTATTCGATAATGGCTCGTAAAGCCGCAACAGCTCGAGCGAGAGCGCTGTCAAATAGTCGGTTTGCGAAAAGGAAGAATTTTCGGCAGCGAAATCAGAAGAAGAGCGACGAGAAGAGTGCTGTATATGCAAAATATCCTTCCCTCCGTACTGAGCTAGCAGATAGTGTTGACCCAACAACATCCATGCATTATGCTGTCCAGATTTTGTGTCGACTGGAAATGCTGCGGGCTGAATACTATCTGAGAAAGAGCGTCGCTGTGTCCCAATCTGTGAGTAGTCTTGTCACCTGCTTCATGGCGGAGCTAGATTTATGCCTCCAGGAGCGGAATGAAAAGGTGCTGGATCAAATGGCGAAGGCTGGTTTTTTGATCGGATGGGAAAGTCTCATCTCGTCGCACGGAAAGGAATTGTATATGATTTCTGATGCTTGGGTTGCCATCAAATGTTTAGAGTCGTTTTCATTCCAGCTATGCGAGGGGGCTGACATGGAAGTGGTGGTTGAGAAGCAAGACGGCATGGGTTACATAATTAAAGTCTCAATCCCTTCGATTCAGTTTTCGATACTCCCGAAAAGGTTGAGGCTCGGTGGATTAATTAGCGTCACGGCAGTGTTATTTACGCAAGGCATTAACGAGATGCAGAGTTTGGCGAACATGGTGGGACATTCGGGAGTATCAATTCAGCGTAAGATTAACAGTACCAGCTTCTGCACCATTTCGGAGTATTACAATCGCCTAACTGAAATGTGTGGCATTGGGATGTCCGAGGTGAGTGTAGGCTCTCACCCCGACGAGATATTGCGTAACTTGCGCGCAAGTGTGGAGAGTGAAAACTCTGCTTCCAAAAATACGTGCATTTTGCTGCATGCCGCCGACGCAGTGCGAAGTCTCAATGGTGGCCGGGTCACATATTGCAAGTCCGGCAAAGATCGAACGGCAATGAGCACGACACTTGAACAGGCTAGGCTTTTGGTTCAACGGAAACGCCATGTGCTGCAAGAGATTGAATCCGGGAGCGCTACCGAGTACGGACCGCTTGAAGAAGTAAAGGAAGTGGCCAATTTAATGCGTGAGTTTGGTACGCGCATCCATATTGCCAAGAAGAATGTCGGTCGCTTCAAGTACTCGTTCAACTCATTGCAACGGAAGTTGCTACCTGAGATATACCGGCCGCCTATGTCCACGATTCAGGATATGGTGACGTCCGTCACGGCGCGGGATAGTTAGCTAGAGGATGTATGGTATAATGCACGTTTTATTTGAAGTTGTATCGTAAACACACATGTCCACATGGGGATCAATGCAGCATGAGGGCAGTCATCTCGGGTATATAAACCAAGTATCATAAGAGCTTCATTGCCACGCCCGTTCATACTCTTCTTAAACACGCATATGAAATCTATTCTTCGTCGTCCTTGTCGCTCTCCACTTCAGGCGTCTCAAGCCACATAAGCCACGCCGATGTCTGGACAATAGCCTTCATACGACCAGGAACGTCTCCGTCCACGTCGTACTTGTATTCGAAGAATCCCGATTCGTCAATGATATCCAGACTGTACAAGGCCATGAAACACTTCTCAAGCAGACCTTTGGGTAAGTCATGCTTGTTCAAGAAAACCTGCAAGGCGTACAACGCTTCCATTTGGTCCTTCTTGTCTGACTCCTCCATACCGAGTTTCAGCAATTCACCATACGCGGGCATGGCGATCCAGTTAGCGCTCGACTTGGCAACGTCCTCTGCAGCCGCCGTCACAGTCTCGAAAAGCACAGCGCCACACGGACGTCCGTTCTTAGCGAAAAGGTCCTTAGCAACTGCCGCCAGTTCCTCGCCCTTCTTGCCACTATCGAGTACCTGCTTCATAGTCTCCCGGTCGATTTCAGCTTTTTTGGCCGCAGCCTCCTCTGCTTCCCTTTTCTCCTCAGCAGCCACACGTTTGGCCTCTTCAGCAGCGACCCTCTCTTCCTCAGCTTTCTTCTTGCGCTCCTCACGCTTCTGCTGGGCACGTACCTTCTTGTCCGACATCTCTGGCTCTGGCGTCTGTTCTTGCTGCTGAGCACTCACCCGCATGTTCGAAAACGACGACGAAACGTCAGTTCCACCGTGAGCAAAGCGTCCAGTCGCGCGGCCTCCACTCTCAAACCGGTCGCCACCTCCCCGATCATTACGTCCAAAGCGGTCCCCAAAGCGGTCACCCGAGCGGTCACCAGCCCGGTCGTCACGTCCAGAGCGGCCGGCAAAGGCACCCGACCACTTGTCACCACCGCTATTGTTTCGTACATCACTTGAGCCTTCACCACGACGTGCCAAGTTCAGTCTCATATGTGCCGGCCGCTCCTCAGCTTGAAAATCGTCACGTGATGGACGATCATAACGTGATGGGCCACCGCCGCCACCGCCGCCACGCCAAGCGCCACCGCTGCTTTCTTCGTTGCGACCAAACCGATCATTTCCTCCTCCACGTCCACCACGATCGCCTCGCCATTGATCCGATTGATCACTGCGCGTCTGCTCGCGATCTCCGTACCGGTCGCCACTAAAACGGTCGCCGCCACGGCCTCCACGATAATTTCCATCGTCATCGTCGGCACGTGCACGTGGACCAGAAGGTAATGCCGCTTCAGGAATGTAGGCAGCTGCCTGATCACCTAAAAACTCACCAAGTCCAATCTTTTTGCCACGAACCATCTTTTTTATTACTTACTGTATGGAAATATTGAGACTGTGCTAATGGAATATGACGTCAAAGGATCAGAGGGAGAAAAAAGAGTGGTCGGTGGAGCGGTTACGTAGACCACACTAACCCCACCACTTCAAAGATCACCCTGGATTTAGTATTAAACTTTAGAAAAGATGCGACACTATTGAGGGGTTCTAGTTCGATCGAAAGTACAAGGCTAAGATTTTTATTATGACTAAGAGTCGATTAAACGAGTAGATTGATTATGAAAGACTTACATTTAGTAAACAGAGTAAGCTTACTATATGATTGACATGTAGTAAGCTTACTCTAACACAAGTACGCGATTTGGAGCTGCAACATGCTTGGCGTGTTCCTGACCAAATCGGCATGGCATGTAGTGATCTGCAAAACAACGCTGACATTTGCGAACTTGCACGCCATGGAAGACTTTGTCAAGGCGAACAATGTTGTGTTCGATCTAATGCTCTTGCAGATGGACGCGGACTATCATCATGTAATTTATGACTGCGAGGAAGCTTGTGTTGCGTGGGCGCGTGTCAAAGCACTATACAGTGGGTCCCAGAAGGCAACGCACATTTTTTAAAGCGCCAGCTATTCAGCATGAAAGTGGCGGGGGGGGGGGAAGGGAAGGCGGTAACGTGTTACATCATTGCAACGAGGTCCTCAAATCAGCTCTGAGCCAAATCGGCGCCAAAAGGGAGGATGAGGACGTGGTGATCTGTTTGCTGTACAGTCTCTCTAAAAGCTACGAAAATGTAGTGCTTAATTTGGAGATAGTTAGCGCAAAACTGCGATCGTGAGATGTCATGATCGTGTCGGTGACGTAATTTAATGATTCAAACGGGGTTCTTACTACCTAGCCACCTAATCTGTACAATGTAAAAGTGATACGCTGTCATAGGTTAGAGTGATCTCGCTTGATTCTGCGCAGTAGTACGATGGAACTGAGCTAATGGCTGTGGTAGTGCGTATAAAGTTAGGAAGAGCCTAAAAGCCGATGATGCGATCGCGAAAGATCGGCAACGTTGGGATTAATCAAAGCAGACCGTCATGTCGACGGAGTTTTTATTGCCTCGTCTAATGGACGCTATTTTAATCGTGTCAGGTCGGCCTGCCGCTCAACGTCATGGCGCACGGACAAATAGTATAACATGTAGAAGGAAAATGCTTTTGGTGGTGTTTTACTGGAATGCAGCAAGGTTCAGTTGGCAGCCAAAAAAAACAATGCGCTTTACGCTGATAGCGTTATGTACTTGAAGCAGGTATCAAATGTTGATTGTGGACTGCTACTCGCAGACAATAATTCGCTCACCACTGGGGAGTAATACGATAAGAAACAAACGCAGCAACTTTCTAAACACAGAACACTTCGAGCATACAAGACGTCAAAATTAGGCAAGCGTTACTGCTAATCTGCAACAAGATGATAAGCGGAGTTATTGACATAGTGTATGATAGTCAATGTCGCTCTACTGATGCAAATCTTGCCCGAAGGTTGGTCGTCTGGGTTGATTGATAGCATATACGTCTACTTTGCCGACCACAGGCTTGCAAGAAAACAAAGACGTTGCCGAATGGATTAATTGTCTCTTAATTAGTCCTTTCGAAGCCACCACAGAGCGCTTAAGAGCACAATATGACACGGTATAACTGAACCTGAAGTCTATACGTATACGCAAAACGCAGTGCCCATAATTTAACGTGTCACTATCCGATCCGCCCACACTGCAGAATAGAACCAGTTCTTGGACGATATATCGACATGTACAACGTCACCACGGATGTCCCACCACTGCCCGACGTGTCCAAACAAGACACACATACCGACATCAAGACTCTCAACGCTAGCTATGCCACAGGCGCCACGAAGGACCTACAGACACGCAAGTCTCTGCTGAAAGCGCTCCAGCGTCTCGTGAACGAGAATGAGGCGATTATTACGGAGGCCGTGTGGAAAGATCTACATAAACATCCGATGGAACTTTTAGCTACGGAGATATGGCAACTGAAGTCCGAGATCCAGGATTTTCTCGACTACGTGGACGAATGGGCGAAGCCGAAACGTAAATCTACTAATGTCACTAATCTTCCAGGATTGTTCTATGTTCGACCCGAACCTTTAGGTGTTGTGTGTATCATTGGTACGTGGAACTACCCAGTGTACCTCCTGCTAATGCCATTGGTAGCAGCTTTAGGAGCGGGTAACTGTGTCATCGTGAGACTACCAGGAGACGATACGACACGGTACTTGAACAATGTATTGATTCAATTGTTTGACAAGTACATGGACAAACGCTACGTGCGTGTGGTATACGGAGGAGTGGAGGAGACAAAGAAGATGTTGCAAGAACGCTTCGACCTTATTTTCGCCACGGGTGGTAACTTTTTGGGCAAAATTGTGGCTCAGGCTGCAGCGCAGCACTTGACGCCGACGGTACTGGAGCTCGGAGGTAAATCTCCTTGTATCGTTGACAGTACAGCTGATCTTGAGTTGGCTGCAAAGCGTATTGCATGGGGGGCTTTCGTTAATGCTGGACAAACTTGTGTTCGTCCGGATTATCTGCTGGTGGACACCAAAGTGGGAGATCAGTTTGTTAAACTTCTGGAAAAGGAAATGGCGGCACAGTACGGCGGAGAGGATGTGAAGGAGTCAGATAGCTATGGCCGTGTCATTAACAAACGCATGTACGACCGCGTGGTGCGCATTCTGGAGAAAGACCGCAAATATGTGACGCACGGTGGTGAGACCGACGACAAGCAGCGTTTTATTTCACCAACACTATTGAATTTCCGCACAGAGCTCAACTTGTTTTTGAGTAGCGCTTCAATGAGTGAAGAGATTTTTGGTCCGCTATTGCCGATCTATTACTACGGCACTGGTGATTTGGATGAGCCCATTAACTTTGTCACGGCGCGGGAAAAACCGCTTGCGCTATACCACTTCAGCTCCAATTGCAAGAACAAGGAGCGCGTAGTGAATGAAACATCGGCCGGCAGCATGGTTTTGAATGATGTGATGATGCAACTATTGAACCCAAGCGTACCTTTTGGAGGTGTAGGCAACTCTGGCATGGGAGCTTACCATGGTCACTACGGCTTCGAGGCCTTCTCGCACAACAAGACGGTTCTTTACAAGAACGGTCTATTGGACCTTCCACAGCGTTATCCTCCATATACGCCTGCAAAGGAGCGCATCCTGGGCATTGTCACGTACCCATACACCCGATTTCACATGCGGTTGCTAACGTCGTTTGGCGTCGCTGCAATACTTGCAATAGTTGCGATCATTGCCAAGTACTTTGTCTAAGAATGCGTACAGTGAGCCACGCTTGTGGTGAAAGTCTGCCCCCGGTCATTTGATCTGCTTACAACTAAACAATTTTTGAAACTGCTTTGTTGTAAAGGCCAATTTAATAGCAAAATTCACGGAAATAATGACAAATTTAATCTTGTGATCAAAAAATTAGAGCTCAATTTCGTGACAATTCTGCGCTGTTTATGCTTAAAATGGCTGCTTTTAGGCGTAAGACTAAGATGTTTGTCGCATTTATTACATTTAATGACACAAATAAGTGTCATAGCAATGTAAGTCTGCGTAGTGAAGCTACTCTTCCGCGACAGCAGCGTCCATGTCCAGCTCACCGCTGTCTACGATGACCACCTTCTTGCTAGGGGTACCGCTGGGAGAACCCACAGCCTCAATAGCGTCCACCACGTCCATTCCCTCCACGACGCGACCGAAGACAACGTGACGGCCATCCAGCCACGAGGTCTTGACCGTACAAATAAAGAACTGACTGCCGTTAGTGTTGGAGCCCGCGTTGGCCATGCTGAGCGTCCCCTTGCCAGCGTGTTTCCTGCATAAGTCAACAGAATACAAGTTCAATACAGTCAAAAAGGACCTCCCAATATCGATAACTCAATGGTCGTACAGTTTAAAGTTCTCGTCATCAAACTTTTCGCCGTAGATACTCTCGCCGCCCATGCCGTTAAATTGGGTAAAGTCGCCGCCCTGCAACATAAAGTTGGGGATAATGCGGTGAAAAATGCTGTCCTTAAAGTGCAGAGGCTTGCCACTTTCGCCCAGGCCCTTTTCGCCCGTACACAGCGCACGGAAGTTCTCCACCGTCTTAGGCACCGTCTTGCCGTACAGACCCATGACGATGCGACCCGCGGGTTCACCATCGATAGTCACATCAAAGTAAACTTTGTTCGTGATCTTGGGGGTTGCACCGGCCTGCACTGAGAGCACGAGCGCTGCCAGACACACGACTAATAGGGAAAATGTCCACTTGACCATCTCGGTTTTTTTAAAGTAGCTTTTGGATTATGGGAGGATCTTACACGTGTTGTTGTTTGTGTTGTTTTTTACCTGGTCGTAAAAGTAGTAATTACGCCGCAGCGGTACATGCTTACACTAAAGGTACACTAATTATGGCTACCTTGACGACCAAATGTAGCCATATTCTATAGAGGTTTCGAGCCCATTTAGGATACATTACAGACGACCTTGGCCATCAAGGGTCACATGTAGCAATGTATAAACTGGCTCATTGTTCATCGATATCTTTAGTCCATGGCATCAGTTTTTGAGCTGGCATAAAGTAAAGAAATTATGGCATTTAAATTCGCGTTGACGGTCGATAAGCTTAGTGCCACTTCAACTTGGACCATACAAAAACGAACATTAATCTCAGGACACTAATGGTGCTTGCTCGAACAAGGAAGAGCTCTGTTCAACCAGCTGAAACGATTCGGGAGCCAAAGAGACCAACACAATAGAGGAAAGGGTTTTGTTATTTAGCCTAGGAACGTCTTGAAACTTCGACATCGAGGTGCGTCTACCTATTTTGAGCAGCTGATCCAGTAGCGATATCGCCGACGTAAATTTGGCTAGAAACCTAAAAACAATGGAGCATAACATCTTTTCAAACTTGTAATTGACGTGCATTTTGTTCCTCCTTTTCTCTAGCTTTCAGGTCGAGCGGAGTCTTAAAAACTGCATTTCTAGCACCTACATAAAGTCATCGTAGTCCTCGTAGTCGTCATAATTGTCCTCGTAACCGGCATAAGCCTTGCCTCCAGTGCCAGCACCATTCCCGACACTACGTTCGACTTTAGTGTATCCCTGCTTGCCAGTCTGCTTCTTTTTTTGCTTTCGGCTTAGCAGCCAAAATCTTTTCATTCTTAACAACGTTGACGATGGTTGTAATCTCCTTCATGTCGTCAGCTGTCAAGTTTACGGAAGCCTTGGTCAGGATCACCTTGATGCATTCAAGCGCGTACTTTGAGTTAGACATTGCTAAACGGGATGACACCACGTCACCCAAGTGTTCGTGGTCAGCAAGCGAGAGGAGCCGCATAGACGAGATAGTAGCGTCGGTATCATTCGTCGCTCCGATCGCCGGCTTGGGCGGAGCACCAGCAAACGCATCAATTGCCATCTCAAAGTCTGCCTCCTCAATAGAAGCCTTCTCGCGAGCACGACGCTGGTCATCAGTCTCATCAATTTGCGCTGCAAGCCGTGCCTTCGTAAGGGCGATCTCCATATTTTGTTTCTCCTCGATCTCCTTAAGCTTTATTTTCTTGAGCTGTTTAGGTTTAAGTGGTCCCTTTGTAGCAACTACATCCGTTTTATCATCCACTCCCGTCTCCGCTTCTTCCTCCTCCTCCTCATCGTCCCAATTAACCGCTACAGGCGTCACCGACGGTACTTCGAACTCATCGTCATCTAATTAAATTATAAACATTTGTAAAGAAAGTTAGAAGACGACAAACATGGCGTCACATATGCAAGACGAAATACTAACTAATATATAAACAAGTACAATTATCGAGAGACAGAACGCACCCCATGAATCCATCTTTAGCTGAAAGGCAGTCAAGCAGCTTGTTCCTGAGCTGGCAGCTTTTCTTCTTTTTTCTCGATTAGTGGCCGGCGTCAGAGGTACCACAAGTATGGTACAGTTCTGACACGCATACCTACATTAGGAATTAAATATTTTCTGTAGCTTTCCTATATTTTTGATTTCAACATAATTTAGATTATCTACAATTATTTAAAGTCAAAGGACAGACACCACCATGTTCCGCTATCGGACGACCCTTTTCCAGTTGCAACAACATCGTCATTTCTACCAGCAACAACAGCAAAAATCTACAGTAAACGCCAATGGGCACACGTCAACTATAGAAAATGGCAGTATCTTTGGTGGTAACTGGAAGATTCCAGCCACATTAGGCTTTGCACTCATTGGGTTTTTACAATGGCAGCACTTGAACCACCCAACGGATGAAGAGCGTAAGACGCAACGGGCGATGGCTCTTCGTCGTCTTCCTGGTAGTCTTACGTCGTTTGAAGACACGATGGCCACGGAGCGTCAGTTGCAGTCGCTCAAGCTCTTTCCATATCGAGCTGCTAGTCGCCTATGGGGACGAGTTCATGAAAAAGAGCTGTACGAGTGACGTTATTGTAGTTTTAAAAGCTATTATATTGAAATGCTTATTGATCTTGTGTGATTTCAATGAATATATACAACAGACCAGTGTGGCTGCGTGAACCTGTGTACAAGGCGTGGACCGCCGTATTCGACTGCAAACTGGACGAGATGAAATATCCGCTTCAAAAATACGCTAATCTCGGTGAATTCTTCTCGCGGCCGTTAAAAGAAGGTGTTCGTCCGTTTGATAAGACTAAAGGTCATCTTGCCAGTCCTGTGGATGGAACGGTATCCTCGACCGGTGAGGTCAATGACTCGAACAATGTGCCGACTCTGGAACAGATCAAAGGTGCACGCTACAGACTAGACGAGTTCCTTGGTAACCTGCCATCGTTTTTCACCAGAAAGTCGTCGGGTAAAAAGCTATTTTATTGCGTCCTGTACCTTGCACCAGGAGATTACCATCGTATCCACGCTCCTGTGGACTGGCAGGTCGAAGAGCGCCGTCACTTTCCAGGAAACCTCTTTCCTGTTAACCAGAGTGCTGCTCGGCTTATCCCGAGTCTCTTTGTGGAAAACGAGCGAGTAGCTTTGCTCGGTGAATGGGAACACGGCTTCTTCTCTCTTACTGCTGTTGGCGCCACCAACGTGGGTTCGATAGTTATCACGAAGGAGCCCGATTTTTGTACCAACACGGCCGCACAGGATCCCCTAGTGGGCAAGTGCATTACTAACAGCTACGACGACAAGCTACATGCAACGTGCGGCGAAGAAATGGCACAGTTCAAGGTCTGATCGTTCACTTACCGGTAGCGGTATACTATGCTAATTGTTTTTGTATTTGCGTCTACAGCTGGGCTCTACAGTTGTGTTGGTCTTTGAAGCTCCCGAATCGTTCCAGTTCACTATCACGCCGGGTGACAAGGTAAGTCGCTATTGAGGTGTTATATCAGGTTTTGTCGCTCACAGTCAAGCTGGATGTGTACGTGATGTAGTTAATTCTTGGCAAATGCATCGGAAAGGTAGTGAAACAGTAGTATCGGCTATCATTCGTCGGGTGGGGATCTAATATACACTGATCATGCTCTAGACACTCGTTAGATTGAAGTCTGTTGCAAGCCATAGTTTTGAGCTGCAAATTATTTACCTGCACAAGTACAGCTTTTTAAGTCTCTTTTTTCTCAAGAATACTGAAAGGTGCGTCGACAAGTAGATCTACAGCTAAATGCGATCATATTTGTCTCGAGGTGTCCGTGGCGCACTGGCCTACGAAAGATCTTGCACCTAGGCCAGAAACGCGATCAAGGGAAGCAGTCGCTACGGCCTCCCAGTGGCGACAGATAGACCAAAAGCGTGATCCTTGTGAACATCGGCGGTCATCCTGTGCCACTCATCAAGACGTTTATACCAACCTCTGCCAATTGTTATTTTTCGAGATGGTAGGGCGACTTGCAGCGAGGCCAGAAGGTGTGAAGACCCCGATGCCAACCACCCCCGCGATCACGTCCGTGCTACCAAGCAAGTATTTTAGCGTCAGCTTGAGGGATCTCCTCGCCAACCTCTGCCGACGGTTCTTTCTCGAGATGACGCGACGACTTGGAGCGAGGCCAGAAGCGTGAATCTCGATAGCCACCTGCCATCACCACCGCCGCCATATCGCATTTCGTCATCACTCCTTGTTAGTGCTACCTCGGGCATTGTCGGGAGTTGCTAAGCTGGTCTTCCTTTGAGACGTGATGCAAATGCCCTTTATCGAATGATAGGTATATATGTCAGCGCAATAGAGGAACAAACTTCTTCGGTAGACAGTTCAAGCCCGTTAGTGACGGGCATGATAGCGACAGCTCCAATTGCCACGCTAAGAATGCTAAAAGAGAAGCAGCTCATTACTACCAAGACTCAGCATGAGATTTAACGATGTTGGCTGGAATGGCTGATCAGTATGGTCGGCTTTGATAAATGCTCGCTTGTACAGTATCGTCATATAAACCTTAAATATAATTTACTACTGTATTCACTTGCCATTTTCATAATGAAAGACCTTGAGGTATTGCGTCATTGCTAATCTTCTCCTTCTTTGCTCTCTAATGTCCATGATCTGCTCTAAGTTTTGTTATGCTCTACACTGTATACCCTCTCTCGTATTATCTGCTAGGACTACCAACGACCTGCAAATGTATCAGATTTTGTGGCGGAAGTAGGTGTGGATCCCGCCCTCGGACTCTCCCGAGACGATGCCATGACACGTCGCGCACTATACGGGGCCAACCGCGTGACGCCGCCCGTGAATTGCCCATCATGGATCTGCTGTCTGTTGCCATGTCTCATGCGTACGGCCTCCATGCAGGCGTATCAGCACGCGTTACCCCGCGAGGCGACAGTGCGTCGTCGGATAGCAGCGGTGCAGAGTCAGCCGACCACTCGACGCATGCGTATGGACGCAATGAGTCTCGTGTACGGAGATGTGGTGGAGCTTAAAACTGGCGACGTAGCGGGCGCGGATCTGCGCGTCGTCGAATGCTCAGCCGACTGTGTGGTGGACCAGACGACGCTGGTAGGAGACGACGGTGAAGACGAGGAATCTGGACAAGCAGGGAGCAGGAAATACGTCACAAGTAGCAGTCCGCCGCCACATCTGCAGCAGTTTCCACTGCGCTGTGGCAACATTGTTCCGATGACAGCGAGCGTGCTACGAGGCTCGGCTGTAGCTGTGGTAGTGTCGACAGGAGATCGCACGCTGTGGGGACAAATGGTGACGCAGCATCAGTGGCCACTACCTCCAGGGGCTGCATTGAGAAAGGAGACGGGTAATGGAGAGGAGAAAACCAATTTGATCGTATAGAGATACGCATGAAGTGATACTTCAGGTCTCCGATCTTATAGCGTAGGTTTAAGTGGTTGTTATTACAGTAACAGGGTCGAACATGAGACCAAGTGGCGATGCAGCTTTGTCCTTCCTTGTCCCGGCACTCTACTGTCGTCTTCCACCGGCAGTAGGAGTAGCTGGAGCACCACCAGCTGCGCCTGCAGGCTCGGCGCCTCCGCCACCGAATAAGCTCATCACAACGATAGGCAGAACGATGTACCACTACGATATGATGCGCAATAGCAATAGTGAGCACGGATGCAACAGTCGATAGCGCAAACATACTCTTTGCACGTACATATTTGCGAAGAAAGGATTGGCTCTCTTCTTCGGCCTCATCGTTGCCGTCCTCGCTCTTCACGGGCTCAACTCCCTGAGGAGCGCGGTCTCGCTTGACCACAATGTTCTTGGGAGGTCTATATTGATACACAAAAGTCAATTTTAATCCCCATGTAGAACTTCCAGCCTTTGACCGTCACTTACGATGGACCAATCTGTGCCTTCAAGACTAAACCAAACGGGCCGAAGCGCACGTCCTTGAGACTGCTTGTCTGGTGTTCAGCACACGTTACAGCGTCTACGTATGGCGTAAGGTACTCAATAGCCACAAGTTTTCCACTGTCGGACAAGTGAAAAGCAAAGTCCTCGCGCAGACGCATGGCTACCAGCATGCACATGGGTACGGACGTCATGACGTAACGTGAGTTCGGGTCCGACAGGTCTGCCTTCGCTCGCACAGTATAGTGACTGCCAGAATGTAGCAGAATCTTCAGCTTCTCCACGTCATTGTCGCTCAATATCGGCAGGTCCGAGAATGAAATTTTGGGCTTTGGAGACGACGCGCTGATTACGATATCAACGACTCCACGTGGCGTAAAGGGCGCATCTATGGCCATCTGATGCTCTAGTTCAAATTTGAGATGCTGTTCTACTCCTCCGAGCGACGGGATAGCGGTCGCATCGTCGAAATCGTCACCGAATTCCTCCTTGAGTCTGGTATACAAAGAAAGTGATCAGATTGTAGGTTACAGATGGATTTAGAGGACAAACATTGTACGAGAATGTCGACAACATACTCGGCTTCTTCCACTATCACGAGTGTAAGCACAAGCGCGCTTCATGAACAGCGTTATCACGGCCACCAGGAGCAGCGTCCACGCCCTAAACAATATCATTTTTTGTCGAAGGGGCCAAAATGAAAGGGGTACGATACAGTACAGTACAGTAGTCATTATCACGAGGGGTTACGGTGGCTTAAAAAAACGCCTGGCATCGAATAAAACGCTTTTAATTTTTTTTAATAGCCAATTTAATATTCGATCTCGAATGCAGTCCCGGGAGGAGATTGCGCGTGCTATACGTGAACGCAACGGCAGAGACACCCTTTCCTTAACAAGAGAAGAGAGGAGAGATATTGCACGTAAGTTGAACTTCAGTGGTGTGGCCATGGACGAGCACGAGTCGATGCAGGAGGAACAAGAACAGACTGAACAGAATGTAAACCACGTACAGATTGCGATTCGGTTACGACCACTGGAAGAGGCTGTTAATGGGACAGAAAATGAATGCTTTCGTGTGCTGTCAGATGTGACGCTGTTGGTGCAGCCGCCCAAGACATCACAGTCCTATCGCTCTACTGGCACCGCCACGAGCTTCCATTTCTCGCGTATTTTTAAACAGGAGACACATCAGACAGAGTTATTTGAAGCCACAACGAGACCGGTACTGGATGCAGCCTTTGATGGCAAAAGTGGACTTGTATTCGCCTATGGAGTTACTAATTCTGGCAAGACTTATACAATTAGCGGCACTAGTGATGCACCTGGTCTATTGCCACAATCTTTGCAGTACGTGATGGATGAATTGTTAAGACGCAGAAAAGACAACGTCGAGCCCGTCACGAAAATTACAGTGACGTACCTTGAGATCTACAATGAAAACGTGTACGATCTATTGTCACCTTCTCTTCGAAAGAGAAGAGCACTGCGTGTCCAAGACTGCGACGGAAAAATTCAGGTGCGAGGAGCAGTGGAAAAGACCATCAAGACGCTGGAAGAGGGACTTGATCTGCTGGAAATGGGTCGGCGACATAAGCAAGTGGTCGAGACTAACTGCAACTCGGACTCGAGTCGCAGTCATTGCGTGTTTACGCTACAGTTTTACCAGCAAGTGTCACGATTTTCATCGGATTTACGTAGCAGAGTATCTATCGTGGATCTGGCGGGCTCTGAACGTGGTTCTAAGAGTGGTGCAACTGGACTACGGATGCAAGAGGCTAGTAAGATCAACAGCTCTTTAATGAACCTCATGCGCTGTCTTGAGACTTTGCGGTGGAATCAACAACATCCGCCAAGTTTGCAAAAGATGGTCCCATTTCGCGAATCCAAGCTAGCACGTCTTTTCCAAGATCACCTTGTGGGAAACGACCACGGGCCGTTGGTGATGATTGTAGCGGTTAACCCATCCAGTCACGAGTTTGACGAGACCTTGCGCACGCTAAAGTATAGCGCCATTGCGCGCAAGTTAGTGAGGACGCGCACGTCCATTCCTAGGAAGGCTGCCCCAACAGCAACGTTCTACGACCTAGATGGGCGATTGAAAAAGAGGAGACGGCAGTCGACGGAAGTAATCGCACCTCAGGCTTCGAAACCGCAAATGGATTTGGGTGCCACGGAGGCAAAAATAACTGTTACATCACCTCCGTCCAAAGTCAAAGTAAAGCACCGAAAGAGTGGCTCTGTATGCCGACAACGTAGATCGGCCGCATCTGGTCTGGCTAAACCGAAGATGATAGAGGTGGGGACATCTCCGATGGAGTCGCGAGGAGAGATCGCCGAAAGAGACTTGCATTGGGTAGGTTGGTGGTTTGTGTTGTTTGTTGGCCGTGATGATATGGCTACTCAGTTTTCTTGCCTTTGTCTCGTTACACTTAGGCCAAATTGGAACTAGAGAATGAGGAACTTCGAGGGCAATTGGCAGAGACCCGAGCTGGAGAGATGCAGACGGAGGTCCGCATTCGTGCAGAGGTTGTTGATGAAATGCGCGAGCAGTTGCAGCAGATTCGCGCGCAGTATCAATGTTCTCAGCACCAACAACGCGAGGATCTGCCTTCTGCACGTAAAAAACGCGAGCGGCAACACGCAGAAGAATGCGAAAGATTGCGCGCGCATGTGCAGGAACTGCGCGGAAAAGTACGCGAGTGCGAGGACGAAATTCAGCGCCTCCACAAGCGCCACCAAGCAGAACTTGACAAATTGCAGTCGAGTTTTGTACCAGTAGAGATGATGTGAAATGAGTAAAGACAAGAGTATATATGTGTTTCAAGTCTTGTCAGCTAAAGGCACTTCCTTCCGTACGTTACGATTATGGCTAAAGTTTTTCTTCGCAAAGGTTACGGGATGAGATTAATGAAGCCTAGGGAATCACCCGCCATGCAAGCACAACATTTCTGGTATCTGCCAGCTTACTGCCGTGGTCGTAAATCAGAGCCTCCTCTACGGCCATCGTAATCCGAACGTCCTCTGTTCATGTACATATTGTGTCCACGAGTGCCGTCGTCAAAAGCATCAGCACGCTCATATCCCCGGTATCCTCGGTGCAAATTATACTGATCGCTGTAATTACCGCCCCGCTTACTTTGCATAGGCAAAGGCTCGGGCCGTAAACGCGAACGCGAACGCGATCTGGATCTTTGATTGTTGTCCGTGTTACGATTAGACCATTGCTGATCAAAACGGTGGCGATCGGCAGGACTCCGTGAGCGAGCGCATATAGAATTCGAGAAATTACCCCGCCTTTGGCTTTCTTCAGTATCAATTGGTTCCTGCTGCCACTTCCGCGATGGGGACCGAGCGCGGTGCAGTCCACTTCTTCTATCGCGCTCACTCATTGTCCTTACTGGCTTTGTCTCTGACTTTCTCGTGATTTCTCCTTCCTCTTGTCTTCTTCGCTCATTGTCCATTTTCAACTCGCGCTTACTCGTGTCTAGACCAAACATTGGAGTTCGCCGTGGTGAGCGGGACGACGATCGAGCTCGCTTTCGTGCCAGCGTGTCTGCGTCACTATAAACAGCACTGCTGGGGTTTTCATTTCCACTTGCAGTTCTTTCGCGAGTGTCTGGCACCGAAGGCGAAGTCCTACGCCTTTTAAAGTTTCCTTGATCAGCTCTGCCTTCATAAGTATTAGAACCGTTTCGCCGATCACGAAACGACTTGGATTTTGACCGGGATCGAGACCGAGACCTACTCTCTACCATTGCACGTGACCGCTTGCCCCCGCCGTCGAATGTGTTGTATTGACGCTCGCCTCGAGACGATGGTAGTGAAGATGGCGGTCCATACTTAGTGTATCGATTATCACTCTTTGACACGGGTAGACGTTCTCGTCGCCACGCGGAAGTAGCAAGTGGACTGCCATTCTGCGACAATACAGGAGAAGTCTCCGGCACACTTCGCTCGCTAGAGGGAGAACGACGAGGAATACTTGGCCCGACAGCTGAAAACGAGCTTGCTCTAATCACCACACCAGCTTTAAGGCTCAATCGAAGCTCCAACGGATCTCCAAGGTCATCGCGGAAAATATGCGACGCTTGCTCGGCATCTTCGCGGTTGTAATAATGCAAAAATACGGGAGCTGGCTCATTCCTCATTAGTTTGTGCCAGTTTTTACAAGGAATATCGCAACGTGGTACAGATGTGTTATGTGTGTACCGCTTGCTCAATGAAACTGCAAACTCCTCACGATCACGGTCCTGATTAAAGCGGACACCCGTGGATTTGCGCTCAAAACGCGCATTCCGGACCATCAAAGTAATCCAGCCACGTAGTATCTGCGGTACAAACGCTGTGCCGTACATTCTTCGTTGATAATATTCTCTGTCCTCAGACCGCTTGAACCGTAACTCCTCGTAGCAGTTTATTTTCCGAATTTCGAGGTCATTACTACCACACTCATAGATTGCTGGACTTGCTTTTTCGATTGCTTTCGGTACCGAGAGCGACACGCCAAAAAACGAGGCAGCGTACGATTCCCGATTCGAGGCCATTTCGCGTTTCGTGGCGCAGCTCAAACGAGGAATTAAATCAGGTAGTGCTTTGCCGTCGACGTCATAAACTTCATATCCCATCATCTGCCCCATGTTGTTTCGAAAGTCAGGAGCTTGAGTTGTTAATTCCATTGCTGCCATAAAAATGGAGTTGCGCTTCCTAGACAGACGCATTAGTGCTTGATCTTGCCTACAAATCGAAGCGTTTTTTTTTACTGGCACTGGATTTTTTAGTCGCTTTGATACAGGTCGCATGGGATCAACCACCTTTGACAACTTTGGACTCGATCCAGGAGTGGGCAACGGAGGCATGCTGACATATTCGGGTGGGCCCAGCGAATTCTTGTCAATACTTGCATGAGGTTTACTAGTTTTTGCCCGACTCACTTGAGCGACCGCCGTCTCACCTTTGTCACTATTCCCACACGATCGCTTTGGAATGACAAACGATTCAGCGGTTGACAACGCAGTTGAAACTCCTGCCTTCATCCTCCTGCGGGGTATTGGCATCATCTCAAGCACCAGGTCTTTCCTTTCCTCCTCGCTGCTGTTTTTTTCTGCCCCGTCTTCACTTTTTACTGATCCACCCGCAATTTGTGTGACCACATGTGACTCTGTTTGTCGCTCGTCATTGCCTTCCTTTTTTACAAGCCTGGGTGCGGCTTTCACGTCAACAAGTACCTCATCTTTCATCTTATCGTGAAATTCATGCTTCACAGGATAGCTTGATGTGACAGTGGGGGTCAAAGCAGCCCCTAAACTTTCCTGCGCTGCACCTGCTTCTTCAGATTTCGCTGTAGTTACAACCTTCTTAGCATCCTCAGTAGTTTTGGCTTTCGCTATCACACCAATCTCAGCCTTCTCTGGTCTTGAGGGTGTACTTCCAGGTTCCCCGTTGCGTTTCAGCTTATCCAGCTCACTAGTGTCGTTCTTAGTGACTGCAAGCAAAACTTCATCGTGGTCTTCGTGCTCAACTGGCTCGGGGGTCGTCATCAACTCTTCTTCATTGTCATCATGCTTCGTTAGCTCAGCAGCAGTGACTTCAGCAACAAAACGAGGCCCCACATCATCATCTTCTTCCTCTTGCTTCAAAGAGTGAAGAGCATTGCCCATTGCGACATTAGAAAGGTCCACATGTTCATTCTTAGTCTTTATCGTTGATAAAGCAGCAGTCTTCAGCAGTTGGCACTTTGCAGAAAGTTTGTTTGTAAGATTTCTTCTCCTCAGTCCACGTGACATTCGTTTCCACCGTTCACTGTTCACCTCAATATCAACTTCTTTGCCAGTAGAAATCGTCTGTTCATTCCGCACCAATTGAATCGCACGAGACGACTCGTCTTGTGTAACGTTCAAGGCAATTCTGTCATTCTCTCGAGCAATTCCCCGTCGCTTATCCAAATTGTGCTTCCTCTTCTCTCTCAAAGCTGTTGCTTTAGCCAATACAGAGATTGTAGTATTTGGCGTTTTGTTTTGCTCCTTTTTAGGGGCTCTATAAAGCCGTTTGCGTCGTACAAAAGTGTCTGTCTGGTCCTTTTTAGTCAGCATTCTACGCTGCGTCTCCTTCGTACTGCTACTGTCTTCTAATGACTCGTAGTCACTGTCATTATCTTCCTGTTGACGTTGCCGCTTCGTGACGCGTCTCCGACCGTTCCCCTCTTTCTCTAGTTTCTTCTTCTTTTCTTCTTTATAACCTTCACAGACGTTGTATTGGTTGAATTAGACGAAGAATCTGATGAATCGTCGTCCTCTAACGCTCCTTGTAGACGCTTAAGCCATGGCAATCCCTTCTTCAGTGACACATGGGGCTCGACCATGCTGAAACTTGAGTAAAAGGTTACGAAATTTGGTTTTAACAAATGACTTTTCAATAATTGTAAGGAGGCTTTTATTTAAAGAGACTATAAAAGCGTTTATTACATTGACATAATCTACCCAATTTTTAATAAATGGGTCTCCTGGTGTTGGAGCCGCACCAGAATGAATGTGCTATAGATTACTAAAGTGTAAGTCAAAGCGTGTCAATTCATTGGTATCTCGAACTACACATGACATAGCAAGTGTCTAGCTACGGATTTGGCGAGCATGGAAAAGAGGTCTCATTCTTAAATAAGTTATAGAACCTCACGTCATGTTACTAGTTGGGTTATGTCGATGTAATGATGATGCCCAAATGAAGCAAGCTGCAATTAGTAGTGTGAGGTATTTATGCATTTGCCACTTTTTAGTCGTTCACTGTCAGTGACACCCACATAGCTCATCTTTTTGTATCAGTGCACACCGTGCCTTTCCAACTCAGGCGTCTCGGAGCGGCCAGACTGGGTCTCACTACAACACGAACCACGGTTTTCGCGACAAACCAATAATTGCTCAGAGTTGGGTGTGTCAGAGTAAGTGGACCAGAGATATCTACACTGCAATAGAGGAAGCTCGTGGCCTTTTGGTTTGGAGATCTGTGCCAGCTAACAGCTCGTCGAGGTCCGACGCTGTATGTCTCTCTAAACCCGGTACTAGCCGTATATAGAAACACACCACCGACTCAAGTCCTGGAATCCCTGTGATAGTTTCTCCGAGATACATGAGGTCAAACGCGAGTTTTGCGAGTACCGCGCACACGCTGAGAAATGGTAGTGTAGTAGATATCTTCAGCAGAAACATTACAACAACGAATTGCTTTATTGCATTAATAAGAGGACATCGCACTACCTTATGCACCTAATCTGGAGATTTTCTTGACGCATCACCGACCACAATTTGGATCCACCTATGCGGTATCTGATGTCGGCTTGATCGAACGGTACAAGTATGACATCAAGATCAGACAGCATGGAAGTGTTGTTTTGCTAAAGTGGCTGTCTGGCAGCCATACATGGCATGGCACGTCGCATTATTGACTCATGCTTGGAGTCATCGATATTCCCAGAGCCCATAAAAAATCCTTGAAGGCAGGAAAAGCAGCGGAACTGGTGCGTTCTGCCACAGATCGAGAACTTGGGAGACTCGGCTACCGACTTGCTGCCAACTTGCAGCCGGACGAGGTGGTGAAGGTAAATTTCAAGTCAAAGCCACCGTTTTCGCACACTGGCGTCAGTCACTCTGCTGCTGAAGAAGATAATCATATTAGAAGGACATTATGCTAGGGCTTTAGGGCGACTTGGAGACAAAGAAGAGAGCACGTGCAGCTTTGGTCAGTATTTGGTTGGCCATAGGTCTCGCAGATTGGAGCATGAGCTTCTCTTCTCGTTTAGCAAAGTACTCCCACAAAGAGATTAATTTTTGACAAGACGAGTTGCGGCTACCCCGTTGAAGTAGCTATTGTAACGATAGCTCAACTACTTCACTGTGCTGCCAAATGAAAAGTAGTATTAAGAGTTAAATTACTACTAAAGTAAATGTATAAACCCTTCATAAACTGATCACACAATCCAGATCATTCAAAAAAGAACACTGTCCATGCAAGTTGTCCTTTTCACGACACACACATCACTGACGTAATTCGTGATCCTCTA